CAAGACCCGCATCAGAAAGCTTTTGAATGGTGATACCTTTCCAGTTGGTCTACCTGCTCTTCACGTAGCTCTGCATGTCGTCCTTTAGGTGCTCTCTGGAGATAGGCACTGCTCAATCCACTCCTCCATAGTGAGACCCCCCCCCCCTCAATCCACTCCTCCATAGTGAGACCCCCCCCCCCTCAATCCACTCCTCCATAGTGAGACCCCCCCCCCTCAATCCACTCCTCCATAGTGAGACCCCCCCGGAGGTCCAAGTTAACCTTACATGTTTCCATCTTAAGCTTTGTAAGTTTGTTTCGTAACGGACTAAATGTAAATATATTTATAAAACGGACAAGTCAAATCAAGCAATCTGATTGGTCGATAGCGTTTTTGCGGACCTTTTTGATTACAGATTTGAAAACATGGTTGCTTGCTTTAAAAGTAGCACACTTCATGATGTCAGACCTTGGGAAGTATCTAGATACCCCTGCCCTCATGCCAAAGGAACTGCACACTGAATATGTTTTGCCGTTTGAAGTCTATGTCTGGACCGCTGCGTGAAAAGGAGGGTTTCTGCCCCGTTACTTCTCCGCTGTTTTCTTGTCCCAGTTTGAAAAGCAAGCAGCATGCTGTTTGCTTTTCAGACCAACTGTACACTGTTAAATCGACCAGACTTCTTTCTGCAGATGTGAGCGTCCTTAACAACGGTCAATACGTCCTTGCTGCACATGATCCCTTACATGTTTCTTGAGCTTTGTTAGTTAGTTAGTTTCCTAACGGACGAAATGTAACAGCTGTAGTTTTTCTCAGACGTGGAGGGATACTGACTTGTTGTGAAAAGTAACTACAATTCTACCCGTGGTATACGCTCATTATATCACGGCTAAGAACCAATCAGATTGCTTGATTTGACTTGTCCGTTTTATAAATATATATATGTATTGATCTCTCTCAGGCCCCCTGAAGACCCCCATCGCGGCCGGGCACCCCTCCATGAACCTTCTGCTCAGAAAGACCTTCGATCTCTACGCCAACGTGCGGCCGTGCGTCTCCATCGAGGGATACAAGACTCCGTACACCGACGTGAACCTGGTGACCATCAGAGAGAACACTGAGGGGGAGTACAGTGGGATAGAGCACCTGGTGAGACACACACACACACACACACACACACACACACACACACACACACACACACACACACACACACACACACACACACACACACACACACACACACACACACACACACACACACACACACACACACACACACACACACACACACACACACACACACACACACACACACACACACACACACACACACACACACACACACACACACACACACACACAGGTCAGCAGACTGTCAGCTAGCTCCGTCATTTCTTTCTGGTCATAGTTTTTTATGTTAATTCCATTCAAAACATATATATTGAATTCCTTCACTTGCATAGTTTGTGCAAACTATTAAACCAAAGTAAAGTGTTGTTATTTATAAGCTAATAGTTTGGTAGAAATGTTCATTCTTAAGTGTTAGACATTATATAAACATCTAATCAACGCAGTCCCACAGAAACGTCCTGTGTCCCACGTGCTGCTCGCTCTGATCGTCTCGTTCAGAGTCTTGTTAGCATCCGTTTGAAATCTGATTTATAATAATATTAATATTTCTGATATTTGATGTGGTAGAATAGGTAATAAAGCTGAGAGAGACTCAGGCGCTGCTCCTCTGGAGGGTAAGACCTGAACCTGTCAGCTGATCACATGATAATCTGACCTGCTTTAGCGTTAGCTTAGCATTAAACAGGAAGCTGAGCTGTGTTCAGACCCAGCGCAAAATCAACCTCAGGGTTTTTCTGCTGATATTTAAAGTGACTCTGTGAGTTTAATATAATATTCTTTCTCCTAACTTCTTTTATCTCGGATAATATTCAAGATTTCAGGGTCTTTTTCTTTTATTTCAGTGAATATTAGGAATAGGGTTCTCTTTTGTTTTATTTGTAATTTTTATTTGAGTAAAAGTGTATTTTTTTAAATTTATGAATTATTCTTATTTTTTATTTACAACTTTAACTAAATATTCAAATTGTTCTCCAAATGTTACGACTTTATTTCAGGGAATATTTTTGATTTGTTTTCTTACATTTCTAAATTCTTTTTTAGACAATATTTAATTATGTTTGTCTTTAATTTAAAACTTTAATTTAACATTTATTTTTTTCTCCTACATTTTTAACATTTAAATATTAATTAAAATCCAAGTATTTCTGTTCATTTTTAGTCTTTATATGATTTAAATCCCTCTGGTCTGAGTTCAGCGATCAGCTGGCAGTCTGTGGATGTGATGTCACTTCCTGTGGCTGTGATGGTGATGATGTCACTTCCTGTCTGTTCCCTGATGTTCTTTATGAAGTCCGTCTTCATTCCTGTTGTTTTTCCCTTTTTGGAATGAACACTTTTCGTTACTCTTCAGATGCATCTCCTCCCCTTCCTCCTCCACTTCCTCTTCATCTTCTTCTTCTCCTCTTGTTCCTCAGATCGTGGAAGGCGTGGTTCAGAGCATCAAACTGATCACGGAGGACGCCAGTCGACGCATCGCAGAATACGCCTTCGAATACGCCCGAAACAATCAGAGGAGCAGCGTGACGGCCGTTCATAAGGCCAACATCATGTGAGTGAAACAATCAATAATATACATATACTGGGTTAACATCATGAGAGTGAAACAATCAATAATATACATATACTGGGTTAACATCATGAGAGAGAAACAATCAATAATATACATATACTGGGTTAACATCATGTGAGTGAAACAATCAATAATATACATATACTGGGTTAACATCATGAGAGAGAAACAATCAATAATATACATATACTGGGTTAACATCATGAGAGAGAAACAATCAATAATATCATCAATACTGGGTTAACATCATGAGAGAGAAACAATCAATAATATCATCAATACTGGGTTAACATCATGAGAGAGAAACAATCAATAATATCATCAATACTGGGTTAACATCATGAGAGAGAAACAATCAATAATATCATCAATACTGGGTTAACATCATGAGAGAGAGAAACAATCAATAATATCATCAATACTGGGTTAACATCGTGTGAGAGAAACAATCAATAATATCATCAATACTGGGTTAACATCGTGTGAGAGAAACAATCAATAATATCATCAATACTGGGTTAACATCATGAGAGAGAAACAATCAATAATATCATCAATACTGGGTTAACATCGTGTGAGAGAAACAATCAATAATATCATCAATACTGGGTTAACATCGTGTGAGAGAAACAATCAATAATATCATCAATACTGGGTTAACATCATGAGAGAGAAACAATCAATAATATCATCAATACTGGGTTAACATCATGAGAGTGAAACAATCAATAATATCATCAATACTGGGTTAACATCATGAGAGAGAAACAATCAATAATATCATCAATACTGGGTTAACATCGTGAGAGAGAAACAATCAATAATATCATCAATACTGGGTTAACATCATGTGAGAGAAACAATCAATAATATCATCAATACTGGGTTAACATCATGAGAGAGAAACAATCAATAATATCATCAATACTGGGTTAACATCGTGTGAGAGAAACAATCAATAATATCATCAATACTGGGTTAACATCATGAGAGTGAAACAATCAATAATATCATCAATACTGGGTTAACATCATGAGAGAGAAACAATCAATAATATCATCAATACTGGGTTAACATCATGAGAGAGAAACAATCAATAATATACATATACTGGGTTAACATCATGAGAGAGAAACAATCAATAATATCATCAATACTGGGTTAACATCATGAGAGAGAAACAATCAATAATATCATCAATACTGGGTTAACATCATGAGAGAGAAACAATCAATAATATCATCAATACTGGGTTAACATCATGAGAGAGAAACAATCAATAATATCATCAATACTGGGTTAACATCATGAGAGAGAGAAACAATCAATAATATCATCAATACTGGGTTAACATCGTGTGAGAGAAACAATCAATAATATCATCAATACTGGGTTAACATCGTGTGAGAGAAACAATCAATAATATCATCAATACTGGGTTAACATCATGAGAGAGAAACAATCAATAATATCATCAATACTGGGTTAACATCGTGTGAGAGAAACAATCAATAATATCATCAATACTGGGTTAACATCGTGTGAGAGAAACAATCAATAATATCATCAATACTGGGTTAACATCATGAGAGAGAAACAATCAATAATATCATCAATACTGGGTTAACATCATGAGAGAGAGAAACAATCAATAATATCATCAATACTGGGTTAACATCATGAGAGAGAAACAATCAATAATATCATCAATACTGGGTTAACATCGTGAGAGAGAAACAATCAATAATATCATCAATACTGGGTTAACATCGTGAGAGAGAAACAATCAATAATATCATCAATACTGGGTTAACATCGTGAGAGAGAAACAATCAATAATATCATCAATACTGGGTTAACATCATGAGAGAGAAACAATCAATAATATCATCAATACTGGGTTAACATCGTGAGAGAGAAACAATCAATAATATCATCAATACTGGGTTAACATTGTGTGTGTGTGTGTGTGTGTGGTGTGTGTGTGTGTGTGTGTGTGTGTGGTGTGGTGTGTGTGTGTGTGGTGTGTGTGTGGTGTGTGTGTGTGTGTGTGTGTGGTGTGTGTGTGTGTGTGTGTGTGTGTGTGTGTGTGTGTGTGTGTGTGTGTGTGTGTGTGTGTGTGTGTGTGTGTGTGTGTGGTGTGTGTGTGTGTGTGGTGTGTGTGTGTGTGTGTGTGTGTGTGGTGTGTGTGTGTGTGTGTGTGTGTGTGTGTGTGTGTGTGTGTGTGTGTGTGTGTGTGTGTGTGTGTGTGTGTGTGTGTGTGTGTGTGTGTGTGTGTGTGTGTGTGTGTGTGTGTGTGTGTGTGTGTGTGTGTGTGTGTGTGTGTGTGTGTGTGTGTGTGTGTGTGTGTGTAGGCGGATGTCAGACGGTCTGTTTCTCAGGAAGTGTCGTGAAGTTGCTGAGAACTACAAAGACATCAAGTTCACTGAGATGTACCTGGACACCGTGTGCCTCAACGTGAGAGGACTCTTTAAAGTAGAGACACTACATACTGCTATACACCTGAACATCAGCAGGAGAGGACTCTTTAAAGTAGAGAGAACTCTTTAAAGTAGAGACACTACATACTGATATACACCTGAACATCAGCGGGAGAGGACTCTTTAAAGTAGAGACACTACATACTGATATACACCTGAACATCAGCGGGAGAGGACTCTTTAAAGTAGAGACACTACATACTGATATACACCTGAACATCAGCGGGAGAGGACTCTTTAAAGTAGAGACACTACATACTGATATACACCTGAACATCAGCGGGAGAGGACTCTTTAAAGTAGAGACACTACATACTGATATACACCTGAACATCAGCGGGAGAGGACTCTTTAAAGTAGAGACACTACATACTGATATACACCTGAACATCAGCAGGAGAGGACTCTTTAAAGTAGAGACTCTACATACTGATATACACCTGAACATCAGCAGGAGAGGACTCTTTAAAGTAGAGACACTACATACTGATATACACCTGAACATCAGCAGGAGAGGACTCTTTAAAGTAGAGACACTGCATACTGATATACACCTGAACATCAGCGGGAGAGGACTCTTTAAAGTAGAGACACTACATACTGATATACACCTGAACATCAGCAGGAGAGGACTCTTTAAAGTAGAGACACTACATACTGATATACACCTGAACATCAGCGGGAGAGGACTCTTTAAAGTAGAGACACTACATACTGATATACACCTGAACATCAGCAGGAGAGGACTCTTTAAGTAGAGACACTACATACTGATATACACCTGAACATCAGCGGGAGAGGACTCTTTAAAGTAGAGACACTACATACTGATATACACCTGAACATCAGCAGGAGAGGACTCTTTAAAGTAGAGACACTACATACTGATATACACCTGAACATCAGCAGGAGAGGACTCTTTAAAGTAGAGACACTACATACTGATATACACCTGAACATCAGCAGGAGAGGACTCTTTAAAGTAGAGACACTACATACTGATATACACCTGAACATCAGCGGGAGAGGACTCTTTAAAGTAGATATTAAGAATGAGAGTATGTTAATGGTTTGAACAGATGTATTGATGATGTATTGATGATGTATTGATGATGTATTGATGTTTCAGATGGTACAGGATCCCACTCAGTTCGACGTGCTCGTGATGCCGAACCTGTACGGAGACATCCTCAGGTCAGATCTTTAATAATAACCCTCTCACTTAAGATATGTTTGATAACTGTTAGAAAACTATCCCTGGTCCCCTTCTTGAGCTTCAACCTCAGGATCCATGTATTTGTGATCCTCTCCAGAATGGAAGGAGTCATCACATACAGAGCATCAACTAGTTCCTTTTTCTCAAAAATCAGATTTATTTTTAAGAATCTTGACTTTTTCTAAAACAATCTGACTTTTTCTAAAATAATCTGACTTTTTCTAAAAAAATCTGACTTTCTAAAAAAAATCTGACTTTTTCTAAAAAAATCACAAAATTCAGATTTTTTTCTCAAAAATCTGACTTTTTCTCAAAATCCTGACTTTTTCCACAAAATCTCAAAATCCTGATTTATTCTCAAAAATCAGACTTATTCTCAAAAATCAGACTTTTTCTCAAAAATCAGACTTTTTCTCAAAAATCAGATTTTTGAGAAAGTCTGTTTTTTTTTCTCAACATTTTGACTTTTTCTCAAAATCCCCCAAAAATCTGACTTTTTCAAAAAAAAACACAAAATTATGATTTTTTCTCAAAATTATAATTTTTTCAAAAAAATATCTGACTTTTTTTCTCAAAATTTTGACTTTTTCTCAACGTCTCAAAAATGAATGACTTAAAAATAATAATAATCCCTGGTCCCCGGCTTGAGCTTCAATCTCAGGATCCATGTATCTGTGATCCTCTCCAGAATGGAAGTAGTCATCACATACAGAGCATCAACTAGTTCCTGAACAGTGTCCTTCACATGCTGATATCCAAGAGAGGGAGTTACACAGTCACAAGATGGAGGAATAGAAAGCAGTATTCAATGTTTACTTCAGATTAGCTCCACGTCAGAAATGAGCATGCTTGTCATATGTCTATCTCCATAGAGGCTGAATCATCATGTTAATCACATAGCTATCATATGCCTCAAACAGTCCTGATGCTCTTCTAGGTAATCACACATCCTGTCATGTTCACAGCTACAGTTGGGATACCTTTGGTATCAGATAAGATGAGAGATGAGAGATAAGAAGCACTTTATTGATCCCAATTTGGTAAATGTTTGCGTTGCAGCATTAAAAGAAATAGCATTGGACAATACAAATTAAAAGACTAGAAATAAACAAAAGTAGAAAATATACATGTTGCATTTACAAATGAACAATAACAAAAACCAGATATAAAGCAAGGTATTAAATCCAGAAGTGTGAGGGATGCATATTGAACTGAATGATGTGAATCCAGAAGTGTGAGGGATGCATATTGAACTGAATGATGTGAATCCAGAAGTGTGTGAGGGATGCATATTGAACTGAATGATGTGAATACAGAAGTGTGAGGGATGCATATTGAACTGAATGATGTGAATACAGAAGTGTGTGAGGGATGCATATTGAACTGAATGATGTGAATACAGAGTGTGTGAGGGATGCATATTGAACTGAATGATGTGAATACAGAAGTGTGAGGGATGCATATTGAACTGAATGATGTGAATACAGAAGTGTGTGAGGGATGCATATTGAACTGAATGATGTGAATACAGAAGTGTGAGGGATGCATATTGAACTGAATGATGTGAATCCAGAAGTGTGTGAGGGATGCATATTGAACTGAATGATGTGAATACAGAAGTGTGTGAGGGATGCATATTGAACTGAATGATGTGAATACAGAAGTGTGTGAGGGATGCATATTGAACTGAATGATGTGAATACAGAAGTGTGTGAGGGATGCATATTGAACTGAATGATGTGAATACAGAAGTGTGAGGGATGCATATTGAACTGAATAATGTGAATACAGAAGTGTGTGAGGGATGCATATTGAACTGAATGATGTGAATACAGAAGTGTGTGAGGGATGCATATTGAACTGAATGATGTGAATACAGAAGTGTGTGAGGGATGCATATTGAACTGAATAATATACAGTTGAGGCCTAAGTTATTAGCCCCCCAGGAGTTATGGAACATTTTCCTAAAATTCTTCCCAATGTTTCCAGCATTGATAAAACTTGATATAATCAAACATTCTCCAGTGCTATTTAGTAGCTTGTGGTACTTTTTGGGAAATAAAATAAGATTTTAGGCTCGCTTTATATCAAATATAGTGAAAAATGGGTTGGTCAAAAATATTAGCCCCCAGGCCCTTAATAGTCAATAGTGCACCTTTTCTGAGCCACAACTGACAACAACCTCTTAGAGTAGTTCTTCACTAGGTTGGCACAGGTCTCTTGAGGGATCAATGTTTGATTATATCAAGTTTTATCAATGCTGGAAACATTGGGAAGAATTTTAGGAAAATGTTCCATAACTCCTGGGGGGCTAATAACTTAGGCCTCAACTGTACATACAGAAGTGTGTGAGGGATGATATTGAACTGAAGTATGTGAGGGATGCATATTGAACTGAATGATGTACGGCAGCGGTTTTCAAAGTGTGAGGCGCGCCTCCCCTGGGGGGCGCCAGAGAGCTTCAGGGGAGGCGCAGCGGGAGAAAAAAATAACGAGAAACAGTGAAATCTAGCGAGTTAACTTCTGCTAACTTTATGCGAGCGGCAACATGGATCGATTTTTAGTGAAGTTACCTAAAGTGAAAGAGGAGACAGCGTCTGGCAGAAAACGACAGCTTTGTTTTGTGGCTCATCGGACATTTATGAGAGAAAGTCTCTAATGTCCAAGTGCAAGTGAATGCAGCACAATACGCAAGCCTTGTTACCCCTCCCCCGGCCCTGGCGCGACCGAGGAAATGTGATTGGCGGCAATATCATTTGAACGGGACGGCGCATTCGGACCCAAGTACACAGAAGAAATGAGGTGCGGTCTACAATGACAGAGAAGAGCCTGTCAGTGTGGCTGACTCAGCATTAAATCAAAACGCACTAAAGTTTTGGATCTTAATACGTTTGTGAGGCGTTTTGCTGAACAAGATGGTAATCGCCGCATTCAGCTGTTATAGGCATGCCAACTTGATGCTCTGCTCACGGATGACTCGATGAGCATAACAAACTGTTAAGATGATGACCTTATGTGTGTAAATATATTTCTTTGTGGGGGTCTGCCCCCAAAAAACTGTTTTAACTCTTGAGAAAGTCAAATAAGACGGTGTGTAAAACTACACTGCCCAGACAAAAAAAAGTAACCACTTTGATTTAACTAGGCCAGGTAAGGGCATTCCACTGGATAATAATACCCCTGCATTATAGCAACAACAATAATAATAATAATAATAATAATAATAATAATAATAATAATAATAATAATAATAATAATAATAGCAATAATAATTGGGAGGGGGGGCGCGGCTGTTCTTATGTTCTCTGAGGGGAGGCTCACCTTCCCACACTTTGAAAACCCCTGGTGTACGGTGTGATTAAGAGAAGCTGGAGCAGAGGGTCTGGAGCGAGAGCTGTTCTCTGAGACTGGAACCTTCAGTGCAATCTATATATTAATATGTGATGTATTGATCCCAGTGATCTGTGTGCCGGGCTGATCGGAGGACTCGGAGTCACGCCCAGCGGAAACATTGGAGCCAACGGAGTCGCCATCTTTGAATCGGTTCGTTTTCCTTCAATTTATTTCACTTTTATATTTTTACGTTCATTTGAACATGAGTTGGATATTAAACCTTTAGCACTGAAGAAAACTCATGCATTATAGTATATATAATGATGTTGTGGTGTGTTCAGGTGCATTATAGTATATATAATGATGTTGTGGTGTGTTCAGGTGCATTATAGTATATATAATGATGTTGTGGTGTGTTCAGGTGCATTATAGTATATATAATGATGTTGTGGTGTGTTCAGGTGCACGGCACTGCCCCGGACATCGCAGGCCTGGACATGGCGAACCCAACGGCTCTTATTCTCAGCGCGGTGATGATGCTGCGTCACATGGGACTGCACGACATCGGGAACAACATCCAGAACGCCTGCTTCGACACCATCAGGGACAAGAAGGTGAGACAGAGTGAGACAGGGACAAGAGGGTGAGACGGAGTGAGACAGGGACAAGAAGGTGAGACGGAGTGAGACAGGGACAAGAAGGTGAGACGGAGTGAGACAGGGACAAGAAGGTGAGACGGAGTGAGACAGGGACAAGAAGGTGAGACGGAGTGAGACAGGGACAAGAAGGTGAGACGGAGTGAGACAGGGACAAGAAGGTGAGACGGAGTGAGACAGGGACAAGAAGGTGAGACAGGGACAAGAGGGTGAGACGGAGTGAGACAGGGACAAGAGGGTGAGACGGAGTGAGACAGGGACAAGAAGGTGAGACAGGGACAAGAAGGTGAGACGGAGTGAGACAGGGACAAGAAGGTGAGACGGAGTGAGACAGGGACAAGAAGGTGAGACGGAGTGAGACAGGGACAAGAGGGTGAGACGGAGTGAGACAGGGACAAGAAGGTGAGACGAAGTGAGACAGAGACAAGAAGGTGAGACAGGGACAAGAAGGTGAGACGGAGTGAGACAGGGACAAGAAGGTGAGACGGAGTGAGACAGGGACAAGAAGGTGAGACAGGGACAAGAAGGTGAGACGGAGTGAGACAGGGACAAGAGGGTGAGACAGGGACAAGAAGGTGAGACGGAGTGAGACGGGGACAAGAAGGTGAGACGGAGTGAGACAGGGACAAAAAGGTGAGACGGAGTTAGACAGGGACAAGAGGGTGAGACGGAGTGAGACAGGGACAAGAAGGTGAGACGGAGTGAGACAGGGACAAGAGGGTGAGACGGAGTGAGACAGGGACAAGAAGGTGAGACAGGGACAAGAAGGTGAGACGGAGTGAGACAGGGACAAGGGGGTGAGACGGAGTGAGACAGGGACAAGAAGGTGAGACGGAGAGAGACAGGGACAAGAGGGTGAGACGGAGTGAGACAGGGACAAGAAGGTGAGACAGGGACAAGAAGGTGAGACGGAGTGAGACAGGGACAAGAGGGTGAGACGGAGTGAGACAGGGACAAGAAGGTGAGACGGAGAGAGACAGGGACAAGAAGGTGAGACGGAGAGAGACAGGGACAAGAAGGTGAGACGGAGTGAGACGGGGACAAGAAGGTGAGACGGAGTGAGACAGGGACAAGAGGGTGAGACAGGGACAAGAAGGTGAGACGGAGTGAGACAGGGACAAGAAGGTGAGACAGGGACAAGAAGGTGAGACGGGGACAAGAAGGTGAGACGAGTGAGACAGGGACAAGAAGGTGAGACGGAGTGAGACAGGGACAAGAAGGTGAGACGGAGTGAGACAGGGACAAGAAGGTGAGACGGAGTGAGACAGGGACAAGAGGGTGAGACGGAGTGAGACAGGGACAAGAGGGTGAGACGGAGTGAGACAGGGAGAAGAGGGTGAGACGGAGTGAGACAGGGACAAGAAGGTGAGACAGGGGACAAGAAGGTGAGACGGAGTGAGACAGGGACAAGAGGGTGAGACGGAGTGAGACAGGGACAAGAAGGTGAGACGGAGAGAGACAGGGACAAGAAGGTGAGACGGAGAGAGACAGGGACAAGAAGGTGAGACGGAGTGAGACGGGGACAAGAAGGTGAGACGGAGTGAGACAGGGACAAGAGGGTGAGACAGGGACAAGAAGGGTGAGACGGAGTGAGACAGGGACAAGAAGGTGAGACAGGGACAAGAAGGTGAGACGGGGACAAGAAGGTGAGACGAGTGAGACAGGGACAAGAAGGTGAGACGGAGTGAGACAGGGACAAGAAGGTGAGACGGAGTGAGACAGGGACAAGAAGGTGAGACGGAGTGAGACAGGGACAAGAAGGTGAGACGGAGTGAGACAGGGACAAGAAGGTGAGACAGGGACAAGAAGGTGAGACGGAGTGAGACGGAGTGAGACAGGGACAAGAAGGTGAGACGGAGTGAGACAGGGACAAGAGGGTGAGACGGAGTGAGACAGGGACAAGAAGGTGAGACGGAGTGAGACAGGGACAAGAGGGTGAGACGGAGTGAGACAGGGACAAGAAGGTGAGACAGGGACAAGAAGGTGAGACGGAGTGAGACAGGGACAAGAGGGTGAGACGGAGTGAGACAGGGACAAGAAGGTGAGACGGAGAGAGACAGGGACAAGAAGGTGAGACGGAGTGAGACAGGGACAAGAAGGTGAGACGGAGTGAGACGGACAAGAAGGTGAGACGGAGTGAGACAGGGACAAGAAGGTGAGACGGAGTGAGACAGGGACAAGAGGGTGAGACGGAGTGAGACAGGGACAAAGAAGGTGAGACGGAGTGAGACAGGGACAAGAGGGTGAGACGGAGTGAGACAGGGACAAGAAGGTGAGACAGGGACAAGAAGGTGAGACGGAGTGAGCCGGGGACAAGAAGGTGAGACAGGGACAAGAAGGTGAGACGGAGTGAGACGGGGACAAGAAGGTGAGACGAGTGAGACAGGGACAAGAAGGTGAGACGGAGTGAGACGGGGACAAGAAGGTGAGACGAGTGAGACAGGGACAAGAAGGTGAGACGGAGTGAGACAGGGACAAGAAGGTGAGACGGAGTGAGACAGGGACAAGAAGGTGAGACGGAGTGAGACAATAAGGTGAGACAGGGACAAGAAGGTGAGACGGAGTGAGACGGAGTGAGACAGGGACAAGAAGGTGAGACGGAGTGAGACAGGGACAAGAGGGTGAGACGGAGTGAGACAGGGACAAGAAGGTGAGACAGGGACAAGAAGGTGAGACAGGGACAAGAGGTGAGACGGAGTGACAGGGACAAGAGGGTGAGACGAGTGAGACAGGGACAAGGAAGGTGAGACGGAGTGAGACAGGGACAAGAGGGTGAGACGGAGTGAGACAGGACAAGAAGGTGAGACAGGGACAAGAAGGTGAGACGGAGTGAGACGGGGACAAGAGGGTGAGACGAAGGAGTGAGACAGTGACGAAGAGGTGAGACGGAGAGAGACAGGGACAAGAAGGTGAGACGGAGTGAGACAGGGACAAGAAGGTGAGACGGAGTGAGACGGACAAGAAGGTGAGACGGAGTGAGACAGGGACAAGAAGGTGAGACGGAGTGAGACAGGGACAAGAAGGGTGAGACGGAGTGAGACAGGGGACAAGAGGGTGAGACGGAGTGAGACAGGGACAAGAAGGTGAGACGGAGTGAGACAGGGACAAGAGGGTGAGACAGGGACAAGAAGGTGAGACGGAGTGAGACAGGGACAAGAAGGTGAGACAGGGACAAGAAGGTGAGACGGAGTGAGACAGGGACAAGAGGGTGAGACAGGGACAAGAAGGTGAGACGGAGTGAGACAGGGACAAGAAGGTGAGACAGGGACAAGAAGGTGAGACGGAGTGAGACGGGGACAAGAAGGTGAGACGAGTGAGACAGGGACAAGAAGGTGAGACTGAGTGAGACAGGGACAAGAAGGTGAGACGGAGTGAGACAGGGACAAGAAGGTGAGACAGGGAGTCATCTTAGCCTAATTTTAGCCCTATTTTAGCCTATTTTACTATACTACTGTTTGCACCATGGAATCAGTGTTGTCTGATTGTGGGGATGATGACTGTGTGTGTGTGTGTGCGTGTGCGTGTGTGTGTGTCTCAGGTGCTAACCAAGGACCTCGGAGGAAACTCTAAATGTTCCGAGTTCACCGACGATATCTGCCGTCGCATCCAAGACATGTGATCCCAGCAGGGGGCGCCACTGAGCAGAGAGACCCCAAATACACCTGATCATCTTCATGTATTGTTTTCTGTATGAAATGGAGAAACACCTGATCTCTTGTATGTTTCCATGGAGACGTCCTGCTTCCTGTTCATATCGGGGTGTTTTGGGGTTTTCCTGCTTCCTTTCGGCGAACACCATGAAACATTCACAGCCAAGATACGCACAATGTCACACGACCAAGAGTTTACTCAGATATCCAGATATCATTCTGATAATAGTTGTTTTAGTTTTCAGCACTCCCCTGATGATAGGTAGATGATGGACAGATCTGTTTCAGCACTCTGATGATAGGTAGATGATGGACAGATCTGTTTGTAACGGTCATCTGGTGTAACTTATTTATTCTGTTCCTGCTTCCTCTGTTTCTACATTAATAAACGCTGTGGAGAGAACTGAGCTCTGTGTCTCTTTCATGACCGGACACACAACAAGAGACACTTTGAATACAGGACACACAACAAGAGACACTTTAATGACAGGACACACAACAAGAGACACTTTAATGACAGGACACACAACAAGAGACACTTTAATGACAGACACACAAAAGAGACACTTTAATGACAGGACACACAACAAGAGACACTTTAATGACAGGACACACAACAAGAGACACTTTAATGACAGGACACACAACAAGAGACACTTTAATGACAGGGACACACAAACAAGAGACACTTTAATGACAGGACACACACAAGAGACACTTTAATGACAGGACACACAACAAGAGACACTTTAATGACAGGACACACAACAAGAGACACTTTGATGACAGGACACACAACAAGAGACACTTTGATGACAGGACACACAACAAGAGACACTTTGAAGACAGGACACACAACAAGAGACACTTTAATGACAGGACACACAACAAGAGACACTTTGAAGACAGGACACACAACAAGAGACACTTTGATGACAGGACACACAACAAGAGACACTTTAATGACAGGACACACAACAAGAGACACTTTGATGACAGGACACACAACAACAAGAGACACTTTGATGACAGGACACACAACAAGAGACACTTTGATGACAGGACACACAACAACAAGAGACACTTTGATGACAGGACACACAAGAGACACTTTAATGACAGGACACAACAAGAGACACTTTGATGACAGGACACACAACAAGAGACACTTTAATGACAGGACACACAACAAGAGACACTTTGATGACAGGACACACAAGAGACACTTTAAGACAGGACACAACAAGATACACTTTGATGACAGGACACACAACAAGAGACACTTTGAAGACAGGACACACAACAAGAGACACTTTAATGACAGGACACAACAACAAGAGACACTTTAATGACAGGACACACAACAAGAGACACTTTGAAGACAGGACACACAAGAGACACTTTAATGACAGGACACACAACAAGAGACACTTTAATGACAGGACACAACAAGAGACACTTTAATGACAGGACACACAAGAGACACTTTAATGACAGGACACACAACAAGAGACACTTTAATGACAGGACACAACAAGAGACACTTTAATGACAGGACACACAAGAGACACTTTAATGACAGGACACAACAAGAGACACTTTAATGACAGGACACACAACAAGAGACACTTTAATGACAGGACACACAACAAGAGACACTTTGATGACAGGACACACAACAAGAGACACTTTAATGACAGGACACACAAGAGACACTTTAATGACAGGACACACAAGAGACACTTTAATGACAGGACACACAAGAGACACTTTAATGACAGGACACACAAGAGACACTTTAATGACAGGACACACAAGAGACACTTTAATGACAGGACACAACAAGAGACACTTTGATGACAGGACACAAGAGACACTTTAATGACAGGACACACAACAAGAGACACTTTAATGACAGGACACACAACAAGAGACACTTTAATGACAGGACACACAACAAGAGACACTTTAATGACAGGACACACAACAACAAGAGACACTTTAATGACAGGACACACAACAAGAGACACTTTAATGACAGGACACACAACAAGATACACTTTGAAGACAGGACACAACAACAAGATACACTTTGAAGACAGGACACAACAAGAGACACTTTAATGACAGGACACACAACAAGATACACTTTGAAGACAGGACACAACAACAAGATACACTTTAATGACAGGACACACAACAAGAGACACTTTAATGACAGGACACACAACAAGATACACTTTGAAGACAGGACACACAACAAGATACACTTTGAAGACAGGACACACAACAATAAGAGACACTTTGAAGACAGGACACACAACAAGAGACACTTTAATGACAGGACACACAACAAGAGACACTTTGATGACAGGACACACAACAAGAGACACTTTGATGACAGGACACACAACAAGAGACACTTTAATGACAGGACACACAACAAGAGACACTTTAATGACAGGACACACAACAAGAGACACTTTAATGACAGGACACACAACAAGAGACACTTTAATGACAGGACACACAAGAGACACTTTAATGACAGGACACACAAGAGACACTTTAATGACAGGACACACAAGAGACACTTTAATGACAGGACACACAGCAAGAGACACTTTAATGACAGGACACACAACAAGAGACTCTTTAATGACAGGACACACAACAAGAGACACTTTAAGACAGGACACACAACAAGAGACACTTTAATGACAGGACACACAACAAGAGACACTTTAATGACAGGACCACAACAAGAGACACTTTTGAGACAGGACACACAACAAGAGACACTTTAATGACAGGACACACAACAAGAGACACTTTAATGACAGGACACACAACAAGAGACACTTTAATGACAGGACACACAAGAGACACTTTAATGACAGGACACACAACAAGAGACACTTTGATGACAGGACACAACAAGAGACACTTTAATGACAGGACACACAAGAGACACTTTGATGACAGGACACAAGAAGAGACACTTTAATGACAGGACACACAAGAGATACTTTAATGACAGGACACACAACAAGAGACATTTAATGACAGGACCACACAAGAGACACTTTAATGACAGGACACACAACAAGAGACACTTTGATGACAGGACACACAAGAGACACTTTAATGACAGGACACACAACAAGAGACACTTTAATGACAGGACACACAACAAGAGACACTTTAATGACAGGACACACAAGAGACACTTTAATGACAGGACACACAACAAGAGACACTTTAATGACAGGACACACAACAAGAGACACTTTAATGACAGGACACACAACAAGAGACACTTTGATGACAGGACACACAACAAGAGACACTTTGAAGACAGGACACACAACAAGAGACACTTTGAAGACAGGACACACAACAAGAGACACTTTGAAGACAGGACACACAACAAGAGACACTTTGAAGACAGGACACAACAACAAGAGACACTTTGAAGACAG